TCTTGAAACAATAAAATAAAGCCTTTCTTCCCATTCCCATTTAAAATAAAGTATTTTTATTTATAATATACTTTTTTATTGAACAATGTCTCTGGAATATGCAGAATCTCAAATACAGCACAATGCAGGTCAAATATTTGAAAAGTTTGGTTAATTTTAACCATGTGAAAAATAATGAAAGATTGTTTTTCTCCTTACGATGTTTCTTATTAGGAAAACACAAATGTACCTGAAGAAATAGATTATTTTTTCCCATTCTAGAAAAATATATGTTCGTGGTACAAGATATGCAAATTTTATGGAAAAAACTTACTTATAATTATTAAAACAGGAACCACTGTTAGCACTTTGATATACCTTTACAGTTTTTCTGATGTAACTTTTAAAAATACTTAGATGCATAATGGGGTTTCCTGCTTTCTATCAGTGTTATTGATGCATGCAATATTTTCTAACAGCTATGCACGTGTTAACATGTGCACTTGATTCTACCAAATGAGCCAATTAAGATGGAAATTCAATTTATTTAGCTTGATATGGGTAAATTAGAATCATAAAAAATGCTAAGTAAATTAATGTTATGAAGGCTTATAAAAGAGCCAGCGCTAGAAAAATGCAAACAAACAAACATCTCATAAAGCAAGCAAACAAATAAAGTCTTTGTCCTTGCAAAGGATGTGCTGTTTATATGGGAACAAATAATCCTGGGGAACTTAGTGTGTGCCAATTAAAGGTCAAGCTGAGTACACATTGTCTTTCATTCTTACCCTAAAGGACCCTTCCATATATCCAAGGGTAAAAGTCTCCCCAGGGAAGACACAGCTGCCTGGTCCCACCCAGGTTGGATCTAACCCCTTAGTGCTTCTCAAGAGCCTGAGAAACTTTGGAGTAGCTGTGGGGCCCAAGGGAGTGGGCCTGATGCACTGCAGGTGGGTAAACTGCAAGATCAGCAAATCTCTTTGATGCACGTCGCTCCAGGGCTTGGCATCCTTTAGGGAGTTACTTATTTGCTCTGCTATTATTTGGAATGACTAGAGAACCATTGGCTCGACTTTAAAGTGAGTCAGATCAAATTTGGGTCTGACTACCACATTCCCAATCGCAGACAAGGAGTGAAAGTCAAATGCATTTAGTATCTCTGTCAGTGTTGGGATCCCCACCAACTTTGGCCTGAAGTGATTTTTAGCCTTTTTAAATTGCGGCTTTATTCTGATGGCTTGGGAATTACAATTGGCCTTCTGATACTTGATATCTGGGGATTTGAAGATGTACTCAAGTCTGTCATAAATGAATTTGGTTTGGAGAAGTAGACTAAAAGCAATTCAGCAGGAATAAGTGGGTAGTGTGGATTTCTACCAAGTTTTCTCTAAACAGATCCACATTTCCTAAAAGCAGGCTAACTCTGTGGATTTCTAATGTCTCATCCAGTGACCTTTTTTCACAAGATATTAAATGGAAGCCCTTTTGTCAAAGGCAGCAAGACCAATAAGACAAAAGAAACAGCATTGGACTTGAACTGAGGCTGTAGAGAAAACATCGAAGAATCCCACAGATAGAAGGCCTATACCCGGCGAGAGGAACGTCAGACCTCATAGGAAATTCTATTAGATAGCATCGAGGCTTCTGCCGCTAAGGAGGAAGTACTGAGCATGCCATAGGGTCCTTACAGCCCATCTGGCTGTGATGGTGCTCCTGAGGAGATTCCTCTCGGGTGGATTTGCCTTGTTTGTTTTCCACATCTCCTTGGCTCCAGGTGCTTCTTGCCATAAAAGTCCCAGCACGTCACTCCAGCTCTGTGGAGCAAACCTGGCCCTCTTCTTGTTCTTCTCAGAGGAAGTGTTTGATGACAAAGCAGTATATGCTGTTCTAGTAAAGAGCTCCTTCCCAAAACCAGACCTGAGGAATCTTGGGTACAGAGCCTGGAGTTGGACAGTCTGGTCCCTGAAGCGAACTCTTCCATAGACCTGTCCTCTAACCCGTTATTTTCATTCATGTCCTCCCCACCTTTAGTGAGGGATCATGAAAGCAGGAGACTGAAATGTGCTTTTTGTAGGCTGGAGCACATCAGTGTTCCTTCAGCCAGGGCTTTGCTGCACACGTGCCTTCTAGATTTGAGGGCTGGTTTTCTGCCTTGATTGCTATTTGCTGTCATGTGTCATGTTCAACATTCTGTTTCAATTCAGAACAAGTTTAGGTTGGGTATTTCTTTTCTTCCTCTTCTCCTTCTTCTTCTTACTTTTTTTTTTTTTTAGATAGGGTCTTTCTCTGTTGCCCAGGCTAATGTGCAAAGGCACGATTCTCTTGCTTCAGCCTCCCAAACAGCTGGGATTACAGGAGCACATCACCATGCTGTCTAATTTTTGTATTTTTAGTAGAGACAGGGTGTCAACATGTTGGCCAGGATGGTCTCAAACTCCTGACCCCCCAGGTGGTCCACCTGCCTCTGCCTCCCGAAGTGCTGGGATTACAGGTATGTCACTGCGCCTGGCCAAATGGCATTATTTTCATTTGGAGGTTTCCATAGGAAACTACTTCAATTGCTAATCTTGCATCACTGTCTTTTATATTTAAAGGATGTCACTATATTATGAGTTTCACGGGCTATGTTTCTTGTTGCTGAACCTCATTGTTTGTCCCTACAATTGTGTCTAGGTCTTTCACTTTATCGCTTCCTGAATGGGCATTGAGTATGAATATTCATGAACATGATCGAGTACCCACTATATGCCAGTTGTGTATAGTACTCCATCCATGCTTATTGTTGCATAGAATTGGAGTAACCTTTTACTAGTTTCTAGTCCTCTCTTGTCCCATGTCTGGATCTCCAAAAACTCTGGCAAGAATTAATAGTAATCGGCTGTGACATGAGTAATCATTTTCTTTGGCATCTCCAGCTTTTTTTTCTTCTCTGTCCTTTGCACTCATCAGTGCTCAGGTACCTGGAGCCCAGTTCCTGCTTTGTCTGAAGGCATACCTTGTCCTTACCTTCACCCTGAATGGTGGCATCCGTAACTTCCCTTCCTGTGCTCTGAGGACGCATGGCAATAAGTCAAAATCAAGACCTGCCAGCACCTCTAAGACGTTGTTCCTAGGAACTACCAAGAACAAGGAGACTTGCTCCCTTATCACCAGCTAGTTCTAGAAACCAAAGACCTTGCTTTCTGTTCTTATGATTTCTCATCACTTTTTTTATTTCTGAGCACAGTTCACCAGCATTAATAATACTGTAATAATAGCTGATACTTACTGAGTGCTTTTTATACAGTGGGGAGTTGAATACTAGAACTTTACATTCAGTGCTGGGTTAAATGCTCCCAAAAACCCTATGGGGTAAAGACAAGTTTTCTTGCTAAATGAGGGAACTGTGTCTCAGAACTAACTTATCCAAGATCAAAACATAGTCCAAAATAGAATTGATCATATAGTCCAAATAGTTCTAAGCACAAAATTCTTAAACGTCGTACTCTTCTAGCTCCATTCCCCTATTCAATGTCAAGGGCCCAGAGAGTATTTGAAAAGATATTTTGGTTCACTATTCCTTTCTTCCCTCTAGCCAGTATCCAGGAATGTTTATTCACCTTATGTCATTTGTTTCACCTCCTTATAATCAAGAGAGCCCTGTGCCTTGGATAAGGAATGTTGCCATTAGATTACCCTTCTTTTTTTTTTTTTTTTTTGAGACGGAGTTTTGCTGTTGTTACCCAGACTGGAGTGCAATGGCACGATCTCGGCTCACTGTAACCTCCACCTCCTGGGTTCAAGCAATTCTCCTGCCTCAGCCTCCCGAGTAGCTGGGACTACGGGAGCGCATCACCATGCCCTTCTTGATTGCATATGATTGCACATTGTTTCATTCCCATTGTTTTCTCAAACACCGATTTGCCCAGCATGGTGTTTCAACATGTCTGCGCTGAGGAAGGGGACGGGCAAGAGTACAAGCAGGAGGGTGTCTAGGAGCTGCTCAGTCTGTTTCTCCAGCCTGCCATCACCTGACTAAATTATTTGTTGGATTGCTATGTTCTCTCCCTGGGGGAGGCCACAGTGCCGGGTTTGTTTGTGTATGAGAGTCTCTGGCTTTGATTAGCAGCTAGCTCCAGTGCAGCTGAACATACAATAGGACCAAAGGATGGGGAAAAAAAATCCTGCTACAGTTTCCCATTGGAAAGCATTCACTGTCAAGCTTGGACATCCAGCAGTGGGACACAGATGAACAGAGGCTGGGAAAGGTTAGCTGATGGATTCTCCATGCCCTGCAGCCTGTTGTGTGTGATAGGTCATTCCTTTACATGAGCGTTGAGCCTCTATTTCTCTAAAATGTCTTTTATGATTCAGGTTTGAGATTGGTATTGTAGTTTGACAAGGGGCAAAACCTGGAAAGCTGCAAAGCATGAAGGGATGCTAGGATTCCAAGAGCTAGGGCAAAAGCAGTAAAAATGATGCATCTATCTTAAAGAGCTAGTTACACAGTAAACATTTTAAAAAAGGTCTTTAATCTGGCAGCATTGAAGAAGTTAAAGTAACTATAATTCTACAGCTGAAACAAGGAAGACATTTTTCTTTTATAATATAGTCAGTGATTTCCTTACCACACTTATAATTTTTATTTCTTCTCACTGAATTAAATATTAAATCTACAGCAAGTACCCACACCCATCATCTAGCAGCTGAATAACAAGGTGTCCACCTGAGGCCAAGAGCCTCCCATGTATCCTTAGAGGGCTGCTTCAGTTTCCAAGGATTTTTAATCAATAGACTATCTGTCTGAGACACTGCGCATATTCCAACAAGACACTGTTCATGATCCTGGCCTGTAGGGATCTTAGTTGCAGCCTCATAAAAGGGACAAAGCAGACTTAGAGCTAGAAAATCAAATATAAAATGAAATGATAAAAGAGTGGTTTGGTGGTTTTTTTTTCAGAGAAGGAAGACATTCTTGTGGTTTGGAGTGGAAAAGTGGGGCTGCATGGAGGTGATAGAATTTTCTTTTCTTTTTCTTTTAGTATGGGGTCTCGCTACGTTACCCAAGCTGGTCTTGAACTCCTGACTTCAAGCAGTCCTCCTCCTGTCGCATCCCAAAGTGCTGGGAAAGGGTAGGATTTTCAAAGGAGGCTTTGCATTGTGTATGGCAGAAATACATGGGGAAAGCATCCTAGGTAATGCCTGAAGAAAGAGGAAAGCCAAAGGGATGATCCAAGGCAAGACCTAAGAGGCAGAAAACAGAGGGGCTTGATTTGTACAGAGAGTAAGTGGCCAAGAGTGGAAGCGAGGATTAGAAGAAAAATGTTAGGAATGACAGCAAGACCCTTCAAGTGAAAGTTAACCTGCCTGAATCATATCGTGTTAGATAGTCAGGAATCAGTGAAAGTTCTCCACAACAGAGAAGAAAAGAATTGGTAAAAGTATGGCATAAAAAGATTGTTTTTAAAGAAGTCACAGATTAGAGATGGAGAGAATCAATTGGGTTTTGAAAAAGAATGCTTTGTGTACCACCCCTCACCCCAAGTCCTTGATGCATTCTGGAAATCCTGGGCACACTTCAATGCTTTGCTTAAATACTACCACCTCTGTGAAAATTTTATCTTTATTCCCCTAGTTAAAATGATTACTTGCCCCTTTCTCTGTTTCACAACTTCCTATGGTTTTCCTTTTATAGTCAATCATTCATTCATATATTGATTTAAAAATATGCAATGAAACAATGAGCTGGGCTCTATGTTAAGTATCAGGAATACAGAGATGAATATGACACAGACCGTGTTTTCAATTGGACAACCTAACTGGGAAGAGCAGGCAGGCACATAAATAGCTCATCAGTACAATTTCAGTGCAATGAACTAGATATGCATTTGTGAAAACCTACTGGAGAGACATTTTACCCAGGTGAAGGTGGATTCAGGGGAGGCTTCCAGGAGGTAGTGTTTCCTGACTTGTGTTTAAAGATTAGAAAATATAAAGAAGAAAGTGTGAGTTCCGGTAGAGGCAATGGTGTGAATGCTTGCTCATTCTTGTCATATAACAGTTAGTTTAAATAACGATCACTCCCCACTTCACTATAGATCTTTTAGCCAATAGTTTATACAATAACAAATGAATGAATAAACAAATGAATTGCTGATGCCTTGGCATAAGTAGATTGTTAAGATGAATTCTTTCTAGACACACCATGAGGTAAAATAAAGGCTGTCTGTAGTCTAGACATTATGATGGAAGGTGAATACATGAAGGGTGAGTAAAAAAATGAGACGTTGAAACTGATCAATTTGGGAGAATATTAGTGCCATTGATAGAAAGAGGAAATCTAGAAGAAGAGCTGATTTGGGGCAAGACAATGTTCCAGGCCTGAAGGGATTGTGGAGAAGCAGGATTATCCCAAGAACTGAGCATGAACAAGGTGCAGGCTCCTGAGGTCTCTGAATTGTGGACACCCTCAATGCCTGGGAGGCCTTTTAACAAGAAGTAGCCTCAGGCTTGTAGCAAGCACTTGGTAACTGGTGACTAGACGCCCAGCTAAGCTGTAAGTTTCTAGTCTCATGACTATACCTTCCTCCTCTTGAGCATTCACACCATACTTTCACTAGGAAATGCGGTGAGACCATAATTAACAATTTTATTTTCTGAGAACAATTTTTTATTACTTTACTTCTTACTTTAAATGATGCATTAGCTTTCAAGAAAATTCTATAATCATGTCTAGACATTTCACATGCACATGGAGTAGTTTGAGGCCATGTCTTCCAAAAGAGGCCCACTGGCCAAGGAGAGCCTTCTGTAATTTCAGTGACTGCATTTTAGATTCGCACTGATTTGCCCATGCAGAGATGCCAGCTCTTTTCTTGAAACAGCTCATTTTCCTATGCTCAAATGAATGACCTTCTGCCAATTGTGCATGGAGTCATTATTTTGGCAGCCAGTGGAAAAGGTAGTTACTCATGAAACTCAATGCCAGGGTGATAGTGAAAGCCAGATTGCTAAGGCTTGGTAAATATTGATTAAAATATGTGAAGAAAACCAAAATACTGGGCTGCTATCAGAGGCAGAAACAGTCTCTTATGCTCCTTGTTGAAAGCGCCCCTGTCCTGGGTGGGTGTTTTGTGATGGTGGCGTTGGTCCTGGGTGGGTGTTTTGTGATGGTGGCATTGCTTCTTGCTGTACATAGTCAGCACCTTTTCTTCCTCCACATGCCCTGATAGGATGTGAAGACACTCCCTTCCTTTTCTGTATTTTCTTTATCCCACTCCAGGGGTCCTTCTTCCTAGGGAGGGCAGAGTCAGGGGTAAATGGATCATTTTCAGTTTTCTTCCTTTAAATTATTTTTTCAGCTTTGCTAAAAGAAAAGAACACTCAGGAAGTAAATATTGTCTGGTTTCCAATCCCCAATTTAATTGTCAGTCAGAAGAGGCAGGAAATGTCCTAGGGACAGAGATCAGACAAGATCTTTTCTAAGAAAGTCATTTAACACAGGGCATATTATATTTAATGTTGTTCCAGATTCAGATTTAGTCAGCAATTCCTGGTCCAGATAATTTGGGGCCTGGGAGAGTAAAATCTTGCAATTTCACTGAGACTTTGCCTTATCTGTTTCACTTGGCCAATCAGGAAGCTTCTGCAGGATGAGCTTATTACAGTACAATTAAAACTCTTTTATCTGCAGATGTCCCAACTGATATTTCATACTCTGAAACAATTCATACTCTGTTTTAGCTTTCCATTAACAGCTAACATTCATGTAATATTTTACTACTCGCAAATTTCTTTCCTATATCTCATCTCGTTTTATCCTCTAAACAATTCCAGGAGATCCATTTTAGGATTATTACCCTCTCCATAGGTAAGAAGAAGGAGGCTTTCAGAATGGAGACTTCTCCAAGATTTCTTCAAAAAGGGAGTGTGACAGTTGCCTCATTGACCTTACAGGATCTTTGGAGGGAATTATCATAGCCTGTGAAAGCATTTTGCATATTTTTTTTAAGTTGCCATTTTGTTATTTTCTATGTATAGATCATTTGGCTTAAAACATCAACTTACCACTTTGGGAGGCCGAGGCGGGTGGATCATGAGGTCAAGAGATCGAGACCATCTTGGTCAACATGGTGAAACCCCGACTCTACTAAAAATACAAAAACTTAGCTGGGCCCGGTGGCGCGTGCCTGTAAGCCCAGCTACTCAGGAGGCTGAGGCAGGAGAATTGCCTGAACCCAGGAGGCGGAGGTTGCGGTGAGCCAAGATCGAGCCACTGCACTCCAGCCTGGGTAACAAGAGCGAAACTCTGTCTCAATAATAAAACAAACAAACAAAAAAACATCAACTTACACAATCGTTGAACATTCTCTCTTAAAGAACACTTTACCTGTTCTTTAGAATCTCATGGGGCTGTGGTCTCAAAGTGCACCATACTTCATCTATGATTCAGAATTTTTAGGTGAGGGCTTAGGAAGGTTATTTTTTTTCTGTTTTTTTTTTTTTTTTCTTCTTTTCCTTTCCCTTTGTGCTTCCTTGCGTCCTTCCTTCCTTCCTTCCTTCCTTCCATCCTTCCGTCCGTCCTTACTTCCTTCCTTCCTTACTTCCATACCACCCTCCCTCCTTCCTTCCTTCTCTTTCTTTCTCTCTTTCTTTCTTTTTGACATGGTCTCATTGTGCTGCCCAGGCTGGAGGGCAGTTGTTATTCACAGGCATAATCGTTGCACACTACAGTTTTGAACTCCTGGGCTCAAGCTATCCTGCTTTCTCCACCTCCCGAGTAGCTGAGACTATAGGCATGCACCACAGTGCCCAACTTAAGAATGTTAATTTTTAGCCAGGCCACAGGACTACTTTCAGACACACTAAAGTTTGGGAACCATTTGATGTGTGTGTAATGTATTTGGCATATATCTCTTGAAAATAGGACTGAGTATTGCACTAGCAGTCTTCCAGAATTTGTTGGAATATAATAGATTCTATGTTCTAGACCAGCCTCTATAACTGGCTAATTTTGTATTAAACCACCTGAATTTTTCAGGCTTCTATTTCTTCATTTGTAAACAAGGGACCTACCCTAAAGGATCTCTAAGATCCCACTAAACTCTTTGATTCAGTGTTGATGTGCTTTGAGATTATGATCTATGGATTCTCTTCTTCTCCCTATGGAATACTCTTCTGATTGTGTTTAAGTTGGTGGCTCTGCAGCATCAAGATCACCCAAGAACTCATTAGAAATGCAGATTCTCAGCTAGTACCCCAAACTCTGAGGGTGGGGCCAGCCATCTGGCCGTTTAGTAAGCCCTCCTTGTGATTCTAACACATGATAAAGTTTGAGACCATTGAGATAATCCTGATTAGTACATTCGAGCATATAACTACACAATTATAACATGTTGTTTTCTTAAACTTAGGCTATGGTTGTGACTAAAAATCTTCTGCTGTGTATCTTATAGGGAAAGACATTAAGAAAGCATAATCCTTCTCGGTTTTTAATATGTGACTTCCAAGGGTAAAAACTCAACTCTCCATGTTTTGAAAGGAGCTTCTCTCATACATGAAGGTATTCAGACATCATTTGAAAGTTTGGCAGAGAAATGAAGTTTTAAGTTACTGTCAGTCTTCACTTTACCACAGTAAAATTAATTCATATCAGTCCCCCAATGACATGAATCACTTGTATATTAACTGAAAGTATATATATAATACTTAAATGGCATAAATACAAATTTCACTGCTAGCTACTCTCTCTACAAGTCACCACATGTGTAACAAATGTGCTTTATAGTTAGTGCCTGGTTGCATCCCTTCTTTCATAGTCTATCTGTAACTGGTCACTGTGAATCTATTATTCACTTTAGGCACAGGCAGCAAAGCATGTACTTTTGTTGCCTCATCTCACAATGATAGATTCACAAGATATTTTTCAAAAATTGGTAATCCAAAGAAGAAATTGGCCAACAACGATGAAAGTACAGGCAAGAAATGAGAAATAATTTAACACTGAAAGTGAAACTCAAATCAAACATACGTGGAGTTACAGCAGTAACTGAAGGTGGGAACATTGATGCTGCTGCCACTTGACAGACTCTCCATGTGCAGCCAAAGGCACTTAGTAAAGGCAAATTAATAG